CAGCGTTGGTACATGTTGGGAAAATTCCATACCAGTGTTGCCACTGCCTTAGCCTTTAGAGTATCCATAAAAAATCGAAAACTGTATCCCAATGTATCCACCGAAAATAGCGGACATTTTTACACAGTACATCTATGGAAGATAAACTCGGCCCCTTAACAAAGTTAACATGTAGTCAGTATTTTCTCATCCTTAGACACGGATTTGGGAAACAAAGGCCCGTAGTTATAGTCAAAATTAGTCCGACTCTTAAAGTTAATTGCAGCTTTTAGATATAATTTTAAATGGGATACCTGTCAAAAAAGCTGCAACTAACTTTAGTGTCGACTTAATTTTGACTATAACTACGAGCCTTTGTTTCCCAGGTCTGTTTCTAAGAATGGAAAAATACTGACTACAACTACGGGCCAAAGTTTCCGCATATTCGATGTTTATTACTATGATTAGATTCCCAGAAATAATACATGCAAAAAATGTTTCCTAGTCTATACTAATTTAAACTAATTTTGACCTGCTACATTTAGTTCAGTAAATTATTATTTCCTGCTATTATGGTTCTCATGTTTATCGATCAAACTGTTGGATTGGGAAGTTATCTGTGAAATAAAAAAAATTGCTCAAAAATTGTATCTGTCTGTAAATTCCGCCTTCAAGAAAATTTCTATTTCCGGCTTGTTTCAATTCTCGCTTAACCACATATAACTGCAAATTTAGAAGTTATAAGTTATTTTTAGTACAGTCAAGTTATTGTTGAAAATTAGCCATAGGCATGGTTGTCAATTTCCTTTGAATTCTAAGAGAAGGGTTGCTCGGGATATAAAAGTTGATTTTTTCGCTTTACAGGTAACTACTACAGGTCGGAAAACTTTTTAAAATTTGCAATCTACTTGGTGTTATTAAATGCACGTTTATGTAGCTAGAAAATTAATTTTTCAAAGTGACAACTACAAAGGAAATAGCTCGTACATAAATAAAAAAAATTTCCTTCAACTTACTAATACTTATGGAAAAAGGTATCCAAATTTACACTGAGGACAAAAACGAAGTATCCCTCAAAATTTAAGACGAAAATGTATCAAATTGGATACATATATATCAAAACGGCAACACTGTTCCCTACCCGTAGGGATTTTAGTCGAAAAAAATTAATGTAGGGAAAAGGACAGATTCTTATAAAAAAATACAAATATGCAGATAACTATTTGGCAACTTTTTTATTAAGAATATGTTCCAGTGGCAGTGTTAAATCCGAGAAAGTGTTCGAATCGCAGCATGCAACCACCTCCATATAAAACGTTTTTTTCCAAACTAGCGTCGACAGCTAATTATTACACAAATTGGCGCGTGTTCAATTTGTACATTTTCATCAAATTTAGCAAATTTGCGACAATGTACACTTTTTCAGGGTAAGTTGTTTCAATGGCACACTCCATTTGCTATTTCATGAGCACTGGCTCAATACGATTTTTGGGGCCTCGGTAGTTATGCGGGCGTTCATTTGATAAAGCCGAATATTAAAGTTAAATAAAATGTATTGTATTTTTATTTATTTATATTTGGTCCTCTGGAATCACGACGCAACTCAAAACAAAAAAATCCGAAATCCTGTTAAGGGCTCATGTCTCTAATCATGGGCGTAGCCAGGTAGGGGCAGGGGGTGCTCGAGCCCGACCCCTAACTTTCAAATTTTCCTTATATATATATAAAATAGTACCCTGAAATGCCAGCTTAATAGGGTCGAGGCCCTCCCCCCCTAAATTTCATTCTGGCTACGCCGATGTCTCTAATCCTTGTATAATCCTAAGCAAAGTAAGAAGTAAGGATTACCAAAGTAAGTAGTGAAGATTAGGCGTGGATTTGCCATAGGTTGGAGATATGAGTACCTTAAAAGGATTAATTTTGAGTTGTGTCGTTATTGCATAGGACCATTAGCGCACACAAGGGGAGGGTTTTGGGGTTCAAACCCCTGTGAAGTGGATTAATTCCACTTCGTTGTATTTAGGAGGCGTACCTTACTCGCGCTGGAGCCCTGGTGCTCCGCCGGCGCGGCTGCCGGCCAACGCCTGCTTTGGTGTGGGAGCCCTAGCGCTCCGCTGTATGCTGCTGCTTGCCACTGTCGTGCTGAGTTGCAATGGCCCCGCTTGTGGGGTGCTTAGCACGCACAAATATGTACTGGCGCTTTGGTGTGGGAGCCCTAGCGCTCCGCTGTACTGGAGCCGGTGCTGTACTCCCCGATTGCCGGGCAGCCGAACCCGCTTTATTAAAAATGAAACACAACTGGACGATTGAATGGTACGCGTAATAATGCCGCTAATTTATTTTTCACTTTCGTCTTAAACCTAGCTGCTGTTGTACATAGAACAGTGTTGCATTTTTAATATCGTAAATTATTGTATTAGATTAGCTTTAAGGTGTGTTCATACAAGGTGATTTATAGGGTTGCAAATTGTATGCTTTTATCGCATTACACCCCCCCTAAAGCTAATAACCTCAAATACAATCTGTATCTTAAAGCTAAGAATCCAGCTCTCAAGGAAATTATAAGAAATATTTATTATAATTTCTGTTGCTTGAAAATGCGCTTTGCTTTTGCTGTAAATTTTTATGAGGGAATAAATATACGAGCATTTTTTTTCTTGAGAGCTGCAAACTGATTTAAGAAATTTTGGTAGAAGAAAATTTCTTTTCCATTTCTCGTCCGTCGTTTTATATGAATTTTTCGTTTTTCTTGAGAGTTCAGTTAATTTTTTCGGTATTTGAAATATTAAAAAAATTTAGCAATCGTGAAAAATCACCATCTCTATCGAAAACCAGAAATCGAAAAAATGAACATAGAAGTGCAAAAATTCATGGAATCAATAAATTTATTTTTACTGACTCTTTTTTAAAATTTTTTATTAGGTACTTTTGAAAGTTGAGCGCATCTTGAGTTTATAGAACTTTTTATTAAGCAAGTAGTTTTTAAGGAAAGAACACAACCGACTTCAATTCTCATATTCAAATTTAGGGGTACCGTTAATTTCTTCATGATCCAATCATCGGATCTCTAAAACAAATTACGGGACCTTGAGGTACTATCTTTCTAATAAAAAAAGGATTATTGAAAACGGTCCACGTGGTCCAAAGTTATGTATTCCAGCGAGATGATAACCTCCCTTTTTTTTGAAGTCGGTTAAAAGCGTTTGAGTTCTGTTAATCTGTAAATAAAGTGCAGTTTATGAATTCGGCCGCTGTGGTGTAGTGGTAAGCAGTGCGCGCTTCCACTCCGCAACGCCTGGGTTCAAACCCTGGTCAAAGTAACATCACAAAAAAAATAGAAAAAAGTTTTTTCTTAACAGCGGTCGTCCCTCGGCAGGCAATGGCAAACCTCCGAGTGTATTTCTGCCATGAAAAACAGCTTCTCATAAAAATACAATCGCCGTTCGGAGTCGGCGTAAAACTGTAGGTCCCTCCGCTTTGTGTGACAACATTAAGGCGCACGCCACAATTCGGAGGAGAAGCTCGGCCAAACACTAACATATGTGTAAGCGCCAATCTATTATTATTATTATTATATTATGAATTTTAAAACGTTTATTTATTTATTACATACTGTACATAAAACTTGCATAAATGTATTTTAAAGAGGGTATTATCTGAAGCAAATTTTCAGTATTTTCCGGTGATATATCTTCAGAAATATAAAACCCCCCTAAAATATATTCCTGGGTGCGACCCTGCATAGGGCCATCGATATGTGCACATACAACGCAATAGCGTACATATTATATGTTTATGTATTATATACCTATGTGATTACAATACATTTTCAAAACATTTGGGTGGTTCACAAGGTGTCGTACTTGTCGTATTGTTGTATGTTGTAAAGTTTTTAACGGCTAAATAAATGTTTAGAGCACTTGAAATCACCACTAACTATTTTTTAATTGTGTGAAATTTCATAATAAAACTTTTATGTTAGCTTGCGAATTTCTTAAATATAGTTTTAGCCGTTTAAAGTTTATGACATATAACAGTACGACAGTATACAACTCCTTGTGAACTCCCTAATTGAACCTTCCGTGTCTTATTTAGTCAAGTCTTTTTCGGTCTTCTTTTATATTGTAAGGAATTATTAGATAAAAATTGTAGGGAAATTTGTCGGGGAAATATTTTTACAAGTGTAGGGAAAGGTGTAGATTTTATTATTGTTGAGTGGCGATTTTCCCAAAAAAATTATGTACCATCACTGGCACCACCTTTGTTCTCTACAACGGGGCTAAAACCGTGCCATTTTTGGTCTTATTTAACTACAAATGGTACCTAATTTTATTCAGCACAAGGTGCAAAAACGGCACTTTTGAAAAATAGTAATCAGTCTTATCATGAGTTTCATTTACCCCGAACCGGCTCACTTTTCCCTTTTAGTTTCCATGCATTGGCAGAATATTTCAATACACTTTAATGAAATCTTTTCGCGTGTACTACTTTTCAGAAAGTAAAATTTTGTGGTTTCTAAAGTTTATTTTATTTGCACGTAGTTATTTTTTATTGCAAATTATGAAAGAAGGAAATAATCTGCCTTATCCTGAGTTTCGCCCGAAAAAAAGTTCACCCGAACATTTGTATTCTGCCTATAGCAAATACATGGAAACCAAAACTGAAAAGTGAACCGGTTCGGGGAAAATGAAACTCATGATAAGGCTAAATATCTTTTCAATTAAAAAGAAGGTACCTTATTTGGCGTTTTTTTTTCTATTTGGCAGTTTTGTATACCCAATATGGCACGTCATAGCTGGGGATATTTGGCAGCCATGTATGCAACGCAGCTCTTCGAAGAGTGATAAAAAAAAGCTTTTCATTAAAACCATGTACCGTTCGAAAGTAGTTAAGTCTATAGAGCTCAATATTTTTAGATGAGCGTGAAAACTTTCAGAGAACAAATTTTGTATTCAATTAACTTTATACGTATTTATTTCCGAAACTTACGATTATGTATCTATTATTATAATTTCTTTCAGCGGATCCGAAATTCAGCGGACCTATAAATAATGTAACAGCTCCCGTTGGACGCGATGCGACACTCACGTGTATGGTACATGATCTTATGTCATTTAAGGTTAGATAATTTTTGGTTGTTTCCTTTTCTGATATTCATATACATTAGGATGCCCATCAAAATTTTTTTTTTTTAATTTCAAGACCCTACCCCCTAGTTTCCTACCTTTTTATGAAAAATATTATTGCCTATTTTTATAGATTTTTCAAAAATCATTTAGAGGTACGCATATGTCATATAAGTGGGCGGTGCCGCCCCCCTTTTTCCTATAACTTCTTGAAAACCCACTCGCTAAATAGCGATTGTATATATCAATTTTGAATAAATGTTGATGAATTCCTTAGCCACACTTCTCAAAATATCTGAAAGTCCGGTGCATACACAATATAAATTCAAGGCCGTATTTAAGAAAAGTCGCACAACTTCGACAATTTTTATGCGATTGCAATAAATGAGCTATCAGTTTATTTGAAAATGGATTTAATTTTAGATAGTATTTAGTACATAGTTTGAAATTGTGGAAATAAGTGTGGTCAAACCTTAATTGACATTATTACCTTTTCAAAAGCGAAATAAAGCCAACAAAAATTTGGAAATAAAGTCATTGACGCTATTTCCTCATTCAAATGGAAATAGCGTCAACAATGCTTAAAGTATGTCGAATCATAGAAAAAAATGTTGTTCTTACAACAAACATTGCCCCGTAAGTGTTGTTTTTTAATAGATGACAAAAGTTATTGCCAAATCCTCAGTGTGGTGATATTAATCCACACACAATCATGAACTACCACCAAACAATTTTATTAAATTACGAATATGTAAAAACACGATGCGAAAAACTAAACGCAAAGCACAGCTTGAACACGAGAAATATTTGAAGAAAGAGTGTAGAAATGATCCAAAACTTGCAAAATATGTTTCGTTTCCACAAAAATAAAGCTAACACTATTGAACTGAAGAAACAGTTCATGTCCAAAAACCCCGGAGGAACACTGAAAGAATTCTGTGTTTTAAATTAGCATATTTGAACGAATTCGGAACGTCTAAGGTGGAAGGCGGCGTAGCGTGACGTGGTGTGCGCGCCGGTCGCGCGGGGTACGCGGGCTAAGCAAATTTAATGATTGAAAGAGCAATAATGTCAAGGGATTTTATTTCGCTTTTAAAAAGGTAATAATGTCAATTGACTTTATTTCGCACCAGGGTGGGAAATAAAGCCAATTGACCTTATTTCCGTTGATCTTATTGCCTGTCATCACTTTCTGACCTAAAATGACAAGTCGCGACCTCTAGATGATTTAAAAAAATCGATAAAAGCAGGCAATAATATTTCTCCTAAAAAGGAAGAAAATTAGGGGGTAAGGTCTTGAAATTTCAAAAAAAAGATTTTTCGATGGGCACCCTAATATACATATAGTACATATGTATGTATGTACTAGAGTCCAGCGCAAGTGTATTTGCCGCATTTCGTTCAATAAGTACTCCTTGCATTGTACTCTACTCCCAACACATTGTTACTCATTTTCAGCATACATACACTACTTGGCGTTGAGAGAGTAAATACTTGACGTACTTGCTATTACTCCACCAAAGTACGTACTCTACTTTCTCTCATCGCGTACGAGAGATATTTGCTGCTGCCAAAAGGGAGTAGCAAATCTACTCTCAGTATACTTGTAGTACGGTAAGTACTTGCGTATTAAATTTCAATTCTGGTTGTTAGCCTACTAGTTGATATCGTTTGCAGCGCTGGTCAGTGAAATTGAAAGAGTAAAAATAGAATATGGAAATTGACGATGTAAGGAAATGTTTACGGCCTTATTTATAAAAAATAACGTAGATTTAGACAGTTGTTTAATGTGACATTTTCATAAAACTTTTGTATTCAAGCAGCTTTTTAAATCTATGTATGTACTTAAATTTTTATGAAAGTATTATTTCTCGTCTCTCATTTTCTATAAAACTATTTGCAGTCATTAACCAACAAATAAGTTGTCAAAAACAATAACTTAAGCAATGCTGCTATACGAAATAAAATTATTAGTGGCAAATCAAAATTTTGAAAAGTGCCGATTTTCACATTCGATAGTTGGACATGGTAGCGACGAGATGTACGAGCATTTTTTTCTTAAGAGCTGCATACTGATTTAAGAATTTTTTTACAGAAGAAAATTTATTGTGCGTAATTTTATATGAATTTTTAGTTTTTCTTGAGAGCCTTTACAAATAAAAAAAATTTCGGAATATGTACATACATATGTACATACATACGCAGCCATATAACTTGATTTCAAGAGAAACGAATTTTCATTTGGCACGTTCAGAAGGCGAAACAGCTCAGTAACTGGTGCGATTGCACCTTCTGAACGCGTTGTTGCGTACTTCTGATCAACTGAATAGTTGCGTGTTCGATGATCGTAATATTTTTCTGATCATTTGAGACAACATGTTGGTGTGTACCTTTGAGAGTTGAATTTGACAGCTAATGTATGAAGTCGTTCAAAAGACGCATAACGATCACTGATTTTTGTTTAGCAATGGTTGCGCTCAACTGCTGCGCCTTCTGAACCTACCTATTGATAACTTTTTTTTTTTTTGATAACACTGCGACAGCTCAAATTGGTATTGAGTAAAACCAAATGCAAGATAGAGTTTTTGAATTTCATTGAGTTTTTTTAATAAATACTAAAATTAGAGGTGTATGAATGGCGAAAGAAGAACTTTATCCGATTTTTTTAAATCGAAACTACGTTTTTACATATGTACATATGTATGTACGTGCATACATAAATATATTTAATATGAAATTGAAATTTTCACATCAATTTGCGCTATCTTCAAACCCATGGTTTCAATTGTACGCATATCGTCAGGGTTTTCCCCACAACTTGGTTTTGCTGCAGTGAAGCGACAGAACAAGCCCTGCAAAAAATGGGACTAATCCGGGATGACTCCGGGAGCAATCGCAAAGGAGCATGCGACCAATACCACTTTTGATCTCTTTATATGGAATGAACTGATCGCTTTTGTTCGAGCATGTCCTATGAAGAGACTAATTGTTCACCTTTATACCCGAGAGGGTATAAAAGCGACTAGTCACTTTTAAAAAATACAAATAAAAATTTGCGCCAGCTGAGATTCGAACCGGGTTGCTCAGTTTTGTTAGGCGAATACTATATCTGTGTGCCAACGCCGCACATGAATTTTCATTAGGGGTATTCTCTGAGTCTTGCAAAGCCCTTGCACGGTGCACGGATTGCACGGTTTGCAAAGCTGTCCCATACGAAAACCGGTTTTTACCGTGCAATCCGTGCAATCTGTTCACCATGCAAGGGCTTTGCAAGACTCAGAGAATACCCCTATTGACTAAGTGCGTACATATGATTAAATCGTTAATAGTACCCGTTAGAGATGAGTTGGGGACTAATTGATCTCCAATTATACCCATAAGGGATGAGTCGAGACTAATTTACCTCCATTAGTACCCGTATGAGACTAGTTGGGACTAATTAATGCCCAATTGTACCCGATTGAGAGTAATCTCGGAATACTCTCTTTAGAGATTAGTCGCACAATTTTTTGCAGGGAGTGACGAGAAAAATATGCGGACACTTACATATATACATATGTATGTATGCATACGTATCTATGCACATACGTATCGATGCACATATGTATGTATCTATGCACATACGTATCTATGCACATACATACGTATCTATGCACATTCATACATATGTACTTAGGTATGTATACCAGCATTTTAGTTGAAAGTACGTTTTGCTCGTCGCTCTCTTCATCACTCCACTACATTCCTGTCCTTAGTTTTATTCAGATACCACAAATGCGCGATCTAGAAAATTCTTCTATCATTCTTGCCACAAATGTATGTTTTCTTCGAAAATACTCAAGTACTACCAGTAGAGTACTCTACTGTCAAATACCTTTTACTCGCAGTAGTTGCGGAAGGCAAAGTAAATACTCACGCGTCTTGCTATTGATCGGTAGTTTACGTACGCTTGCAGAAAATGGTTTATGCTTACTCACACTTGACCCGAACGATGAGAGTAAAGGAGGGAAAGTATTTGCGCGGCGATCGGATGTCTTGTTAGGCCCTTTAAATGGAATTGCGCAGGAGTTTAGTATGTACATATATGCACATTTTTATGAATGCATGTACTATCAGTATTTAACACCACCAATATCTCGTTTTAGCTTGCTTGGTTGCGAGTCGATACACAAACTATTCTCAGCATACAGAACCATGTCATTACAAAAAATCATCGTATCGGCGTCAGTCACACGGAGCATCGCATTTGGCAGCTGCGGATACGTGATGTTCGCGAGGCAGACCGTGGATGGTATATGTGCCAAATAAATACGGATCCGATGAAAAGCCAAGTCGGCTACTTGGATGTAGTGGTACCACCTGATATCATTGACTATCAAACCAGTAACGACATGGTCGTACAAGAGGGCCAAAACGTGACTCTTACGTGCACAGCAACAGGACTGCCAATGCCTACGGTAACCTGGCGACGTGAACGTGATATACCGCTGCTGCAGAATATTGCTGGATCTAAGATTTATAGCATTGAAGGTCCGAATTTGACACTGTGGCAGGTGACTAAGGAGAGCATGGGCGCTTACTTGTGTATTGCTTCAAATGGAATACCGCCGACTGTGAGCAAAAGGGTACTCGTTGCAGTTAATTGTAAGTGATTGAATACATCAAAAATAAAATACTTTTGAAAAAATCGTTTTTCATAGTTGCACCTACTATTTGGACCCGTTATGACTCGGTCTATGTCGGCTATGGTCAGAAAGTGGCATTGGAGTGTATTTCCGAAGCACATCCGACCACGGTAAATTTCTGGCTTAAAGACAAAGAATTGGTGCAGAGCGGAACTTATGAGTCGGTCTCATTAGACAATATCTTCAGAATTGTAATGCGTTTAATAATACGACCCATGGAGTTGAAAGACTTCGGTGATTATCGCTGCGTGGCTAAAAACTTAATGGGTGAATCGGAACGCGTTATATCAGTGCTGCGTGAGTGATTCTGGAAAAATTAAATATCTGTTCACTGAAGTTACTTATATATTCTATTCCACAGATAAATCCAGGAAGAATATTCGTCATTCCCATGCGTTGGATGGGAAAGACAATAACCTGATTTTGATCGAGGGTAGGTTACTCTAATGGTGACTTTGCGGTTGTAAAAATATTTCTTATTTGCAGAATACACTTCAGATGGTACTTCCTTAGCGACCGCGTTTCGCACTATGTTGATAACCGCGGCTGTGCTTCATTGGAGATTAAATAAATAATAATTATTGAAAAACTTAATGAATAAAGGAATATTGAGCAAAATAAAAAATTTTCTAAGTCTATAAATGTAGTTGTTGGGCGTAATGTATCCACTGCGCTTGATTTTGCTGTTAAAAAGTGGCTACATATTTCGTCTTTTAAACCTTCTGTTACCGCTGACGTTGTTATTTCCTATGTTGCCAAACATTTTGGTATAGAAAGTAAATATGTACATCTCTTGCTTTACATTGGTCAAAAAGGTACTCCCGTTACTGAGTTGGATAGTGTTTACTTTAAACTTGGTGTTTCTTCACGTTTTTACAATACGCTCTTAGATGCAAAATTTGTGGCCATTAGGTATAAATGTTCGGCCCTTTCACTTTTTTTAGAAAAAGTAGCATGTGCAGGAAAAGTTTCTTAAATACTAAGAGATATAGTGCTAAAAAAAGTAAAAAATCGTTGAGTATTTATTACCAAAACATCTTGGGAATGCGTACAAAAACCAAAGATGTGTTCCAACGTGGTTAAATAATAATTTTTCTGATGAGGAATTCTTTGATCCTAATTTTTCCTTACATATCGTAAAGATAGAGATTCAACTAAAACAAATTGCTTAAGAGGTGGAGGGGTTTTAATCGCAGTTAATCGTATCTTTCGCTCATCTGTTGTTCCCCTTGAAAATAATGACTTTATTCTTGACGAACTCTGCGTATGTATCTATGGAAATCTTGGTAATTTATTGGTTTGTGTCTCGTATATCCCACCCGCTAGCTCGGAGTCTTTATACGCTGCCTATGTAAGTAATACTTTACATCTACATATATGAAAACAATGAGGTCTGTAACTTTTGTACATTAGGTGACTTTAATCTTAATAAAATTAGATGGTCAAATTTTCTAAATAATAGCATTTTAACCCCAACAAATATCAATAGTGGCTACGAAATTACCTTAATAGACAGCCTTCTTAGCATTAGTCTCATTCAAATTAAATCATCTTTTAATAAGCTTAATAACATCCCAGATCTCATTTTTGTTGATGAGAATTTAATCTTTCCAATTAGCTGAATGTATGATCTGCTTCAGTTGAAATCTGGCAGGTATTAAGTAACAAAAAAACTAATTTAAATATGGATAATTGAGTCGAAACTTTTTTAGAACCTTCTTTTATCTCTATTTAGATTGAAGATTTACAAATATTATTAGAATTAATTTCCACGCCAAAATACCCGTACTTTAGAGATGACACCCGCCATCAGTGATTGGACTTCTATCACATTGTGGTAGTTCTGCTACTTTTTTGACCATCTACCACACAAGGTCTGAAATCTACCACATGTTCGCATTTTTGAGTAGTTTTATTTTTGCTCGACATAATTTTCTTAATTTTAAGAGCAAAAATTGCCTAACACTAAACACTAACAACAGGCAGAATGGGATTATAAAATAAATAATATAAAAAAAACTTTTTAATATACAACGCTTTTATAAATGGACTAAAAAGTAGAAAATAATACTTCTCAGTCCCATAGAATTTGTTTTGATAACTTTTGATTTTGAAATTTTAGCAAAAGTCATTATAAACAATCTATGAAATTGAAAATGAAAAACGTGGAGCGCATGCAATACAAAGCATTCGATTTAATTGACAAGTCAAACTACATAACGTAGACCTAAAATTTCTACAGCGAAAGTAGAACTTTGAAATCGATTTTAAGCGGTCGTTATTCATATACCCACATACATACATACATTCATATATTACTTTTCATATCAATTCAAGTGTATTACATGCGCCCCACGCTTTTCATTTTCAATTTCATAGATTGTTTATAATGACTTTTGCTAAAATTTCAAAATCAAAAGTTATCAAAACCAATTCTATGGGACTGAGAAGTATTATTTTCTACTTTTTAGTCCATTTATAAAAGCGTTGTATATTAAAAAGTTTTTTTTATATTATTTATTTTCTACTTTTTAGTCCTGTCTGAATAAAATTTTGCAATAGATATTAAAATAATTCAACGATATTAATAGAAAGGTGCACACACATGCATTTACATATGTATGTACATACAAACGAGCACCAATTAATTTTATTTAAAGAAATGGCGTGTCGTCTATTTCCGCCGATATGCGTGTATAAACCCTCCTCAAAGTCTAGCCAAAAAGCCAGCAACTCACACAACAGGTTCCCCAGAGCAATTCGCTCGAGAAAGTGGTACCCGGTACACGTAATACGCGGCACACAGCACAACAATCCGCCAAAACAGGCAACCCGGCCCAAAATTACCACCGTAGAAGGCAGAAACCCCGAGCGGCAGTGCAGGAGCCCAAGAATTACCCTTAAAACGGCCACAGGAGCTTAAAAAGACCAACTGGTCCCCAACTGGTCCGACGGTAAGTAGTTTCGGACTAGTCCCAAACTGGTTCCCAACTGGTTCCCGGACTGTCACTTCACTTACAAAGCATTCGATTTAGTTGACAATAGTCAAACTAATTTTATTTAAAGAAATGGCGTGTCGTCTATTTCCGGTGTAGCAAACGTAGTACATAGGGCGACATCTAGATGTCATCTACCTCGCCCTATTCACTATGCTTTTTTATAGGAGCTTTTCAAAGCTTTGCTTTGGTGTCGGACACACAACATTGAAAGCTTCTGGATCCACAACATTGAAAGTTTCTGGAACACAACATTGCAAGTTGATAAAAGCGTTGTAATAAACTGTAAAATATTATTGTAGATTGACTTGTCAATTAAATCGAATGCTTTGTATTGCATGCGCTCCACGTTTTTCATTTTCAATTTCATAAAATATTAAATTTTCTCAATATGGCTCATTCCACGGTGACGGGTGTGACATTTCAACTCACATTTTAAGGGTTAATTCTTAAACTGTAATACAAAATTCTTTAAAACGAATATTTTGTAATAGGTTTCCGAGATATACACAATGCCTGGAATAAAAATTCCAAAAACAATTTAATCCGAACGAGTTATCTGAATTTTAGTCACTGTGACGGGTATGACGAGTACGCAACCAAATTAACTACGCCTTACTTGCATCAGAGTTTTTCTGCTAATTATGTCTTCTGATTATGGTTTTAAATAGCTCGTTGTATAGTTAAATAAACATTCTCAACATTTACGCCAAAGTTGCTTGCCGCTATTGGAAATTATAGATTATATGTTCCAAATTCAACTGTGACGGGTGTGACTTGACTTTGTGACGGGTGTGACAAGTTGAGCATGAATACACAAATACACATTATTAGACAACTAAGCTAACTTTATTTCTCAAAAAATCGGATTTTACGCACACATGCAAGATTCTGCCACCTAAAGACGGGATAATCCTTGATCGGACTCTTCTTCTCCATTGTATGTCTTAGTAATTGTAAAGTACCTTATTTTTAAATAGTATAAGGCTATTACCTGTCAAACCGAGGCCGTTACCTGAAAACCCCGTTTTTTTTGCCCTGACAAACGAAGTAATGATATCTTTTTATCCGTGACAGCATAGCTTAAGTTTTCCCATCGCTCGAGCAACATATCTTTATGATTAGCTTTACCATCGCTGATCACAAACATATATATGGCACATTTCAGATTAGCTGATAAGTAACGGTAGCAGTCCCTGGCCGAATTTATTGAAGTTTGTCAAACTTTAAATTGTGACGGGTGTGACATGTGACGGGCGTGACCAACATAATCGGTTATTTTTTCGAAAATATAAGCATATAAATACTTAAAAGCAATTCGCACATATTTCCCTGTGTCATAGCGTTACTTTCGTCAGCTTTTTTACACTGTCCAAGATGTGTTTTCCTTCAAAAAATAACTATTTTGTGTATCTTGTGACGTGCGTGGCAATAAAATATGCTTTGCTTCAATATATTATAAAATATTTAGTACTTGCCCGAAAAATTTTAAAATTACGCCGTTACAATGCTAAAGAATTTGTCTCTCCACTGACGGTTTAAACAATGCAAAAAAGGTAATAGACTACGAAAATCAGTCTTGTAAATTTTGAAAAAAATTAACCTCTCATATGGGTTTGTAAATGGTACAACCTAAAGTAAAAAAATATCTGATTTTGAGATAAATTTCAGAATTTTGGCTTTCAGTCTTGAAAGTTAGATTTATTTACTCTGACTTACTAGAAATAATACAGTCACATTCTTTAGCTTATTTTCGTTTCATTCGGTATCGATTACTGTGGAATGAGCCATATTACATTTTTCGACGGGAAACGTGGTTTTATTAGGGGAATTCGCTCTTATGTGTATTCGGTGTATGTTGTGTAATCGTAACTGCATGAGCGTGCGATTTGTTGTTACTAGCGGTACATCAAATACACATGCAACAACAACCACACGCACGCCCAGTTACACTTACGCAGGATACAGCGAATACACAGAAGCGCGAATACCACTATTGTGTTAAATTGCAAAATAGACGATTTATAAAAATAACTAATAGCGAAAATGTTAAAAAACGGCGATTTTTGTGAAAGTGTTAGCAATTTCAGAGCATCAAAAGCTTCTAAAGCGTTGTTTACCTTTACTTGAGAATTGTCAAAATCGGCAAATCCCAAGTAGCGGTTTCTGGAACGTGTCACATTTGTTCACTACATCGCGATGTGATAAAAAAAAGCGCTGTAAAAACTGGCAGCACTCTGCAAGGTTGCAGAAATCTTTCAAAATATGTTCGAAAAATATCTTGATATGGAAGGAACTGCTTTACACGTGGAAGAAAAAAAAAATCCCAAAACTCAACGCAATTTTTAGCAACTTCAATCTTGCACTTTATTATACTAAAATTATTATTTTTTAAATTCTAATTAAAATGTTTGCAATTTATCTGAAACCTTGCAGAATATGCTTAATTTTTGTACAAAGTTTGATCCAAAACCTGAGATCTACCACATTTTTTTAGAAATCTACCACATTTTTTTCCAGATTCTACCATACAAATTTTTTTTAAGTCCGATCACTGCCCGCCATTAATACTTGGACATCCCTTTCGTTGATCGATTGAGCCTGTTTTCGCC